TTCATGCATGGCATGAGTACGATAGGATTGTGATATCAGTGTCACGCTCAGAAACACACTCTGGAAGGTTGGTTTGTGGTTAAAAATGATTCAGACTGAGAGAGAGATTATAAAGGCCGCGGAGATTTACAAATAGATCGGTGAGATCACAGCAGGCACGGAAGGGCACTTTTGAGCCGATGGTGGAGACACTGAACAGGAAGTCTGGCAGTGGCACCAGAGGAGGAAGAGGCGTTGCTGGGTGCTACTGGAGGAAGCTGGAGGATTTATTCCCTGACATGCAGGGGAAAGCGGTTGAGGAAACAGCTTATGCTGTGAGCTTATGATTTCGTGAGTCACTGTACCATCCATGTTGAAGGTCACATGCAAAAGCCAGAGACGGGGATAGGTGTGCCTTGCCGAGGTGATGACCGTGCCCGAGGACCTGTGGAGAAGACACACAGGGCTGGGTGGTCCAGGAAGGTAAATGAGTTGGACACTCCAGGCAGGTTCTGAGAAAGCCCAGCAAGAGGCCGTGGGAGGAGGTCAGACTGAGCAACCGATGTCTGGGCAGAGGCAGCTGACGGCTGTGGTCGGAGGCCAGGAAAACCAGTTCTGAAGGAGCTGGAATCCTAGGCAAGGTGGCAAGGATGCCGCTTGGCAGGAAGGAAACCTGGCAGTCACCCTGGAACAGAACCAGAACTGCAGGGCTCCGGGAGGCTTGATGCCTGGGGGAGAGAAAGGAGGACGGTGTTTAGGTCTTGTTCCTCCAGACAGCAGGTTGGGATAGCAGGATCCTTGAGAGGTGGGACATATCTCATTCCTGTCTGTAGCCTCGCTACCTAGCACAGTGCCTGGCCTATGGAAGGCACTCAGCCAGTGTTCGTTGGAATGAACCGACAGATAGATGAACAGCAAATGAATAAGGCCAAATTCAAGATTCCCAACGAGCTTGGAATTTTTATTCCCTCCTTTGGTGGCTTTTGACTGCCTTAGGCTCTTTTCTAGTGCCATATAGCTAACGCCAGGACTACCCTCAGTGTCCCTCCTGAGAACTCTTGGCCATCTGGCATGTCTCCAGTCTCCTTCCTTTCTCTTTATAGGGTGTCTGCATTCAAGATGGCTGCGGTCCACTTAGTGGCTTGTTTCCACGGCAGCATGCTTCTTCATTAAGCTATACCCAACCCCTCTCTAGTTACTAGCCTTTGCTGTACCTTATTCAGTTCCCAGCTGTGTTTACATCCTGTCCTGATACAGAATGTCTTTCATTAAGGGAACATTGTCTTCCCAGAATTAACTTAAAAAATGCACTTAAACACATAATGGTATGACTTTTTTTTTTCCAACTAGAAATATAAAATTTCTCCACAACTTCTGTGCCAAAAAATTAAGTTTCCTTGTCAGCCGTTTTCACTGACTCTTCAAAACTGTTTCCTCCACACATAGTGTATGCCAGCCCTGGAAAGAGTCTCCGGGAGAAGCATGTGGCTCCCAACATAATGTCTGGCTCTCACATTTTCACCTACATCTGGGGACTCTGCCCCCTGCTGGTCGTTGTCATGATTATAATTGCCAGCAGTCTCGCCCTCAGTACTGACGAATATGAACACTAACTCAAGAAAATAGAGGAACAAGAGTCACAGTGCGCATTTAATTTTATGTTACCGTGTCATTTGTATTAGACCCATCCATTTCTGTTTTTAAGGCTCCTGACGTGGTTGTCATCACTTTAATGAAGAAGGCTCTATCTGACCCATTATTAGAATCCATCTTGCTCTACTCACAGAGTGTGGCTTGCCCGTAGCTTTTTTCTCAGCTGTAAACTTGTAAGACTCAAGAAACACCGAGGTGGTGCCCACTACTGCCAGTTCAAGTTCTACCTTTCTTTTTGACATGGATTTTCACATCCGCTGGCAGAATTTCTGCCATGCAGTCGCCACTTGCAGCCAGTGAGGGTAGGCTTGTCCTTGGTCCAACAGCTAGTCCCATTTCTCAGTCGGGGCCCGTCACCACTATTCCTCACCTTCCCATGAAGCACCATATTGATTCCCACATTCGGTATCTCCCACTTACTAGGCCTCTCATGGCTCAGCTCGGTGCATTGCCAAGATCTTCCACCCGGATCCTTTCCTCAAAGCTCAGTGGGACTCTACGCAGCAGAACACTCATTGTGGCTAGGGTATAAACCCAAGTTCCTTAGAACAGCTTGCCTCTGTGCATTGAAAATCCGGTTTTGATTTCCCCTGCTCTTTCCATGCCTGCATTTAGAGCTAAAGTGCACCAGCGGATATGCAAAGTTCATCCTAACCGTGCAGTTGTGCTATGACCAATTTAGAAAAAAACATTGTCTAAAGAGGTGGTTCTGTATACTGTGCGTGGTGTAATTCTTATAGGGAAAGTGAAAGTCTTTGTCGTACTGGGTTGATCCGTGTCCCCTTCAAAAATACGTTTCAGTCCTTAATCCCCGACACCCTGAATGTGACCTTATTTGGATTTGAGTCTCTGAAGATATCATCAAATGAAAATGAGATCATAGTGGATTATGGTGGGCCCTAGCCCAATGACGGCTGTTCCTGTAATAAGCGAGAATAGGAAAGAAACCTGTCAGTGTGAAGACAGAAGAGAACGTGGAGTTAAGCTCCCATAAGCCAAGGAATGCAGAAGATTGCCAGCAACCACCCAGAAGGTAGAAGAGACAAGGAAGGATTCTTCTGTGGAGACTTTATTCAGCTTCCAGCTGCGAGAGTGTACATTTCTGTTGTTTTAAGGCACTCAGTTTGTGATAATTTGTTATAGCAGCCCTAGCAAACAATACATTCACCAACCAGAAAACTAGAAAGAGGTGAGAGGTTCGACTCTCAAATGTTGTCATCGTTTTGCCTCCAATGTTCAGCTTCCCCCAAGGACAGATGGGAATTTGCCCATTTGGTTCTTGGAAGAGAATACTTTCTGTACTTTCGGACATAAGGGGAAAAAAATGCAGCGATTTCTTTCTCCCCTGACATTGGTAACGTTATTACCCATAATGCATTAGACACTTAGATTTGAGATACTACCTAAATATTTACAGCTCTTCCTAGAGTGTGACTGCGTGATATCCCAAAGAGAGGCTACTTGTGAACCACCCCTGACCGCACCACAGCCTGCCGGACCCTCCTCTGGTGCCCAGCTAATGAATTAACTGTGGCTGCTTGAGTGCATTCATTAGCCTGCGAGGGCGGCAAAGCAACTTGGAGGTTGGATGTGATAAGTAATGCAGGTTATAAATGGCCATTAAATGTTCTTCCAAGGAAAATTGCTGAACAAAATGCTTTTAAACTTATTTTTTATCATTTGTCTTTGGAGAAAGAGTTCTAGAGCTGGGGGTGATGGAGAAGCTCAAGTAGGTATGGATCCAAATCCACTGGTTTGGTAGGAAAATGATAGGAGCAGTCAGCACTGGTCAGAAGGGAAATTTAAGGGATGTGGCAGCAGTAGAATTGGTCGGACGTTGCACGGAAGCAGAGTTGCAAACAAGGCTGACTCCTAGGCTGAGGAAATCTGAAAAACTTTGGGGTCACTGAGTGTGGTAGGGAATTCAAGATCAAGAAAAGCAAGAAAGAGGAGGTGAAGAGGAGGGTCTATCAGACTCACAGGCTAATAAAGCTTGGCAGAGCCCTCATAATCATTGGCTCCAAGTGCCACATCCTACGGACGAGGCCACTTGGGGCCCAGAGAGATGAAGTAGTCAACCAGAGTTCCACGGCTAGCAAACGGGTAGAGCCAAAATCAGAATCCAAGGCCCCTCTCGTAATCCAAATTAGAGACCAAGAACTGGAGAAAGACCTATGGATGTAGATTTTGTAGAACCCCACTTTCCAGCTGGCAACCCACAAAGGAGAATATATGGAACAGAGATGACAAACCACAAACTCATGCTTTGACCTTTACTCTAGTTTTTAAAATTAGTAGTTAAATTTGTTTCTAACACCTAAAGGTCAGGTGAGTTCCCATGGCACTCTAGGTTGCTGGCTGCTCCGGGAAAAGTCAGTTGGTCTGTGAGAAACTAAGGAAGAGCTCCTTCATGTCAGATGGGCCACAGGCTGGTGTACCTGCCCAGCTGGCGGGCTTCACAGCTGATATCCCCCACCTGGCCCCGCTGGACCCTGGAGTTCACAACCCCTGGGAGAGGGGAAGAAAGGCAGGGGTCCTGAGCCTGCGGCTGAGAAGCAGAATTGGAAATGGCAGAGGCTGAAGGGAAGGAACCTGAAGACAAGAAGGCCCAGGGAGCCTAGGTCACAGAAGCAAAGGTCTCATCCAGAAATCCAGGGGACGGGACGGACTTTTCATCTATTTTTGGATAAAGTAACAGGATGTGGAAACCAAAAAAAGTGGGCAATTCTCTGATCCTGCACAATGGTGATGACTTATGCAAAACATCCTCTTTCCTATTTTTAACTAGATCACAGAAGCTGCGTCAGAGGGCTCGTTGCTGACTAATCCTGTTGTGGTGCCTTTCTCTGAATTGCATAAATGCCATCTACATAGGCGAAAGAACATTTGAGAAGGGGAAAAAAGTCTGTAAAGACTATTGCACACAGGGCATTCTTATAAATAGTATTCTGAGTGAGATCAGGGTGTTCTGGGCCACCACTTTCTGGAAGTTGTCTAGGATTTCATGGTTGAATGATGCAGACATTCAGAGGAAACTATTCATTTAATTCAAGCTGAATTAGTGATCCCGCGACAGTTTGTACTCCATAGCGACAACTCTTTTTCAGTAGGTAACATGGAGAATTATGCCGATTTTTCAGCAAAATTATTATCTAGTTGCATAAATATCCCTGTGCCAGGAATACGTCTTTTATTGGAGAAAAGGACTCAGGAATGAGAGTGAAGGGTTCTCAATGCTTTATAAGCAAGAACCACATGGTGACCATGGCAGGGCTTCTTGCTGAGACAGAGCTGTTGCAGATGCTATGAGGGCCCTGCTCCAACCCCCCCCCCCCAAGACGCCCGCCTCGGACCGCGACAGAACCGCAACCGGCCAATCTCGCCGCCCCTTTGCCTGGGGGCTTTTTTCATAACCGAGGAAAGCCAGCGCGCCAAGGAATGAAAACCACCCAAAAGCAGCAGCAGCCCCAACCGGCAACTGGTAGGAGTTGGTGTATAAATACCCTAGTCCCTAGCATGACCCCTCGCATGGGGTCTACAAGCCATTTAAGACACAGAGTAAGTAGGCTGCTGGCTTTGCAAGGCAAATACCTTGCTAGAGTAATGCAGTAATATTATTGCTTTGTTTTCTGTGTGTGTGTGTGTGTGTGTGTGTGTGTAGTATGTATAGTTTATATGTATATAAACTATATATAGAGAGAGCTTATATATATATGTATGTTTATATATGTAGTAGTATGTATAGTTTGTATATGTATATATGAAATGTATATACTCTGTATAATCTATATGTATATAATCTGTGTATATAACAAATAATGTATATGGTGTGTGTGTGCATATGGTACTTTATACTTTGGAAGATAATACTGTTTTCCACTTGCAATGGTGCTTATAAAGCTTCTTTTCAGAATGAACTTGTTTAAGTAAAAATGCTGAATTGATTTAAAGAACATTTAAGTAAATGATAGAGTATAACCTCCACCAATATGCCACAAAAGTGTAGAGGTTGTGCATGAATGACTAAAGCCACACTGGTGTCTTCCTGCTCTCTTCTGCAGATCCCTCAGGTGCCTCAGAGACTGCCAAGGCGGGCAAGAGGAGTGACAGTGGCTTCAGGTCACCCGCCTCTCCTTCAAGCAAGGCATCCTGGTGTACTGGCCTGGGAATCGGTGATCTAAGGAGTGAACTAGGGGAAGGGATCTACCATTTCAAAGAACAATAGTTCACAAGTTTGAAATGTTCAAATGGAGTCCAGCACTCAATTTATTAAGAACTTGAGGCCAAGAGAGTTTAAATGGCATTTCCCAGTTCCCGTACGGAGTTTGTGACAGAGCTGGGACATGGGCCCATTCACGTGACCCCCACCCATGCTCTTCTGACTGTGCTCCCTCCCTCAGAGGCAGGGCTCAGGTAGGGCTTCAAAGGCCGGAGAAAGCAGGGCAGGGAATGGGGAGAGAAGATCCTGGAGAGCACAGCTCTGCAGGGGAATCAGGTGACACTTTCCCGGGGCCAGGCAGGGAGAGCTTTTTAATAAAGGAAGGTGTTGGGCAGAGGCGGAACAAGGAATACAGTGGGGAAACATGTCGGGATCAGAGGAGAAGGAGCTTGAATGCCTGGTGCGGGGAGTGTGAACTCACAGGAAGTGTGGATCCGGGTCTCTGAGCTGGGAAGGGACGCATGAAAGCCATGCTTTGGGAGGCAGCACTGTAGAGAGCAAATAGGTTCAAATACTGCTTCCAGAGCCACTTACTTAGCCTCTCTGTGCTTTCGCTTCTTCTAACACACCCAAAACAGTATCTGGTACCTATTAAGGGCTCAATAATGAGCCCTACTAAGGGCTATTATGATGTTTTCTATGAAGGACTGAATAGTGCCAAGAGAGGGAAGTGGCCTGGCTGAGCTAGGTAGTAGCAGAGACAGAATTAGAAATCAGGACTGATTTCTAATTCAACACTCTTTTTCTCTGCATCTTGTTTTAAAATGATGTCGTATTTATTTTCTTGTCTGCATTAGCATTTCCACTTGCAAAACATAATGCCTTTATTTAGTACAAACATACCTCCACAATGGTTTCCTTTTGGAAAAACAATTTTGATCGATGATTTCTCTCACTCCCTAATTAATATACCACAGTTAGAGTGAGCACTGCCTGCTTTGACAAAGCAGGGCTTTCAATTTTCAGATCTTCAGCCACTAACAGGGGAGTCTGACTTTAAACCGTATGAACTTGCGTATGACATTTAAATTTTAATAACTGTTCTGGTTGCTTCTTTGTGTCTGGAGAAAATAACGTTTATTTTGACCAAATGCTATCTTTTCCCTTTTTTCATCAGATAAATCATACTTATGACCTGAGAGCTTCTGTTGTTCTTTATGATTCACTGATCAACCGTGAACGAAGAAACAAATGCTGGAATTTTGGTGACAGCATATTGGTGATTCTCTCCAGGAGACTGCGGTCTCGCAAAGAATCAGAGACCAAGGGAGGGCAGCTTCCTCAGAGATTCTGTAGCCCAGCTCATCCATCTTTATAGATGACAAAATTCAGCTCAGAAAGGTGAGTTGAATTTTGCAAAGTCATCTAGCTATTTCGTGGTAAGAGGGATTTTGAACCCATTTGTTTTTTTGACTTGGAGTCTCCATTGCATCACGTCCTGCATCAACTCATGCATTTCTAAAAAGTCTTCCTGTATTATTAGGCAGGCAAATCCAGCTTGTTGCTTGGTTTTGCAAATAAAGTTTTATTGAAACACAGTCCCTTCACAAAAGATGTCTGCCGATCCCTGTTGTGTATCAAGCCTGGTTGAAACTCCTTTGTTGTTGTTGTTTGTTTCTGTGTTATGCTTTTTGTAAAAAATCTTGATGGATTAATAGGTCTTTCAGCAACAGGTAGAACGGAAGTTCTGTGTGCATGTCACACAACTGATGACATCGATACCACATAGATGTGTTCTTATTTATTTGGCATTCCATCCTCTCCAAAGCTCGCCACAGTTCTCTAGAACAGTGGTACCCCTATCTGCCTGATCATCTGCTCCATTCCATGAAATCCTTGAGAATACAGACTCCCAGGACCCTCCCCAAATCTCCAGTCAGTGTATCTGAGTTTAGGTTTGGAAATCTGTAATTTTATTATTATTTTTGTAACCTCTGGAGGCCATTTTGATGATCAGCCAGCTTTGGGAACCTTTGCGCTGGGTAATGACTGGATGGACGTCTGTATCTTTGTTAGAGTCCTTTCCTTTCCTCCTGTTTGTCTCTAAGCCCATCCTCTTCCTGAGCCCCATGCTATGGGTCGTAGGTACATTGTTCAGCATCTTTGCTGAATGAGGCTGGGGGCAGGGGCGCCTTACACACCACACTAGTATTTCCTCAGTATCCAGTAAAGTAGTGCAGACACTTTCTGCCTTCATTGTAGTTATTTGACTGGTTACACTTTTATTTCTGTCATTGCCTTGTTCACTTTCCATTTGCATTTGCATAAAATTCCTCAAATGACAAATCCAACCCTGATTTCTTCTGCTTTCTGATTGTAAAAGTGAGGTGCATAGACAGCCAGAACTTAGATGATAAAAGCCTCGTATCCCCTGTACCCTGTTTTTCATCTTTCTTTCCTTTCCTGCTTTTAAAAGTGTCACTGAAACCATTAGGGATTAAAACAAAAAAAGATTTAGAACCCTGAAAGTTTGTTGGTCTCAGCCGTCCATTAATTTAAATTTTTCCTCCCTGCTGTTTGAGGGTTATGTTAGCCTAATAAAACAGGCTTTTAAATATATGTATATATATATATATAGGGCCACACTCACTTCACATTCATTTTTTTAACCGGTTCCTCTCTCTTTCATTGCATAAATTAACTAAAATAATTGACCTCAATGGTCTTTTCGCTATGAATGACTTTGTGTGAGGAAGCTAGTTCTCACTTTCATAGAATGAGATAGGTTTATTTCTTTTTCTTAAGTGAATTAAGACAAAAATATATGATGTGCAAAGACTTCAATATGTCCCATGTTATAATTAGGATTGATGAGGTCCTAAGAAAGCAGCAGACATTGAATCAAAAGATAATGTTTAACCTGCCAAGTAGAACAATAAACAAGATCTATTACCGCAAAGGTGTTTAGAATTAGTGTATCTCACTCAGAGAGACACGACCAACAACAAATGCGAAACCAATGAGGACATCAGAATGACACTTGAAAGACCTTAACAAAATATGGCATCACGCTGGGATTCGCGAGATGAGAAATACTGACTTTGACCGTGATGCAATATCTTCTATAAGCCATTACAATTAGAGGCGAAAATGGAAGGGCTATTCAATTACTTTGGGCAGTATCTTTCCACCTGCATGAGATTAACAGGGCACATTTCACAATAGATGTCTCAAGAAATTTAACTAACCGTTCATTGAAATCTAAAGTGGATAGGCTGTAATTAAATAAGCATTTTATATCCCAGTTAGGCTGGCCCTAATGAGCAAGTCTAAATCTTGTTTTCAGGATCAAATTGCATTTTGTGACAGCACCTCCTTGCCAGTCTGTCCTTCCAATAGGGACAGGCATTTCAGAATAAGGGCAAACACCTAACAGATAAAGACAGCAGGGCACTCTCCAGGCTTGTACACTGTTCAAAATCACAGTGCATTGGAAACAACAGGGATTACGCTAACTTCAGGAAGGTAATTTTGGTTTCAAGGAAATTAGGACCGATTTAGTAATCTTGGTAAACCAGGCGTTCATAACAGGCCAGGGCAGAGGACTTGGCCATGGTACCCTAAAGGTACCCACCTGCCCTGTGCCTTTGGCACTTCCTAAGCCTAGTGTGTATTGTTATTTATTGTCTAAGATCTGTCTGTCTTCCTGACTAGATTGAAGGCATCTCAAAGGCAGGGACCAAGGTGAACTGTTTGGGCATCATCAGTACCTTCCATGTGGGCTGTTTGAATGTTTGTTCTAGTTGGTGGTGATGCTCTTAGGTAGAATAAGTAAGTTAGTTAATTAACAGAATTTAGAAGCACAAAAGCATCCGATTCCTTCTAAAAATTTGGCAGTTCATTCTTTGCCTCTGTTAATATGGAACGGATTTCTCCGTAGGAGGAATAAATGTAAAATGAATACAAAAATTCACATATCGTATCCATTTGTTAATATATACATTTGTTTATTTAGAAAACACAACAAAGTACAAAATAATTGGGTGATTTGATTTAAATAAATCAAAACTGCAAATGCATCTTCACCTTCTCAAATCCTTTTTTGGTTGGAAGTCATGCCGATTACATCAGCAATTGCCTGCTGGTGGGGGGGCTGCGGAACTGGTCCTACTTGTTTCTTGTAGATATTGCAAGTTATTGCAAGGTTTAATAATTTGGGGGACATTCTGAGTGAAATGAGGTTTAAAGAGACTTCTTTATTATAGGGTTTCTCAAGTTTTTGAATTGTGCCAACATCCTTTACGAATCTTCAAAGTTAGAAGGCAGATGGTATGGATTTACTAACTCATGTAACTCTTTTTATGGAACAACTGAGAGACTGGTGTGGTCCGAGGAACACACTTTGGGAAATGTTGAATCAGACACATTTTTCATGTAGGCTCCTTCTGTTAGAGAAATCGCACAGTTGAATACTTGAGTTGAAAGACCTTCAATCTGTAAACCTTCTGGAATCATGGTTCTCAGCCTTGGCTGTCCATTAAAATCACCTGGGAGTTTTAAACAAGCCAGTGCTGAGGCCCCACCCACAGCCAGCTAAAGTCAGGGTCTCTGAGGGTGAGTTTTCTGACCCATAAAATGGAAATAATAATGCCTACCTCACAGAACTGTGAAACATAAATGAGACCATATATGGAAAATACTTGCTCTGTGCTTTCAACAATAGCCAAATTACGCAAAGAGCCCAATGTCCGTCAACTGATGAATGGATAAAGAAGGTGTAGTTTATAAATATGATGGAATACTACTTGGCAATGAGAAAGAATGAAATCTGGCCATTTGCAGCAATGTGGATGGGACTGGAGGGTAATATGCTAAGTGAAGTAAGTCAGTCAGAGAAAGATATCATATGCTTTCACTCATATGTGGATCTTGAGAAACTTAACAGAAGACCAGGGGAAGGGAAGGGGAACAAATAGTTACAAACAAACAGGGATGGAGGCAAACCGTAAGAGACTCTTTTTTTTTTTTTTTTTTAATTTTTTTTTTTTCAACGTTTGTTTATTTTTGGGACAGAGAGAGACAGAGCATGAACAGGGGAGGGGCAGAGAGAGAGGGAGACACAGAATCGGAAGCAGGCTCCAGGCTCTGGGCCATCAGCCCAGAGCCCGACGCGGGGCTCGAACTCACGGACCGTGAGATCGTGACCTGGCTGAAGTCGGACGCTTAACCGACTGCGCCACCCAGGCGCCCCAAGAGACTCTTAAATACAGAGAACAAACTGAGGGTTGATGGGGGTTGGGAGGGAGGGGAAAGTGGGTGATGGGCATTGAGGGGGCACTTGTTGGGATGAGCACTGGGTATTGTATGTAAGTCCATTTGACAACAAATCATATTAAAAAAATAAAAAAACAAATAAACATAAAATAAAATAATGAAGATTAAAAAAATAATACATAGCATCTCCATTTAACTGTGAAAGAAGAAAGAAAGAAAGAAAGAAAGAAAGAAAGAAAGAAAGAAGAAAGAAAGAAAGAAAGAAAGAAAGAGAAAGAAAGAAAGAAAATACCTGCTCTGGTGCCCGAAACAAAGTTTAGGCTTTGAAAAAAATGTTTCTTCCTAAGGATAGTGTAGAATTCCAGTGAAGAAATATAGAAGATATTATGAAAAAAGAAAATCACTGTTTGGCCACACCATGGTTCTGCATCGACAGATGCTAACAATATATGATGAGAAACAGGATGTTTGCATAGCCTAAGTATTTCCCCACAGTATACTTATTAATTACAAAGGGAAAAACAGTAATTTTACCATGGAAAAATCTGGCAGACTTCATCTTAACTAAACGATGAAAGGTAATCTCATCAGTAATGAGACATGTCAACACCATGTGCTCCCGGTACAAGGGGACACCGAGGAGACCACATCATGACTTCTGTAGTGCTCTTGCTGAAAATACATTATCTGGAGAAAGTATACAAGGAAACATCAGCAAACCCAAGTCAAAGAACATTTCTCAAAATTACTGGCCAATACTTTTCAAAAGTGCTGAGGTCATAAAAGGAAAAGACTGAGGAACTGTCCCTGACTGGAGGAGACTAAGAAGCTAAATGCCCTGTGGGAGCCTGTATTGAATCAGGGACCAGAAAAGGAATATTAGTGGGACAATTTGGCATGAACTCAATAAGTTCTGCACATTATCCATTTTTTTTCAAGATTGTTTACCAAGTATAATTACACTACACTTCTATAAGATGTTAACATTGGGGATGATGGACGAAGGTAAATGGAACTCTACTATTTTGCAACTTTTCGGTAAGTCTGAAAAGTTTTCAACATAAAAGCTTTCAAGATAATGGAATCAATATTTCAGGAGGTTTTTTTTTTTTCCCTCATGGGTATTTGGAGTTTAGGGGAAATAGGCCTCTATATACTGTATAGTCTACATTGAGCATAGGAGAAAGTGGCTCAAGATGGGCAATTTAACAAGCATTTCCTGTGATTTGGAAACATGTGCTCCTGAGGCAACACTGTCATAAATACCAGATAGAGGATTTGGTAGAAGAGGGGAAAAAAACAAGTGATCCAGGAAAGAAGAGGGTAGGAGCCCAGGTAGTGGTAAGGAGAAATGAGGAGCTGCTAGATACGGGTTTCAAAAAAAGGATTTGTTTTTTTGAATAGGAACAGGAGAAAGGGAGATAGTTCTGTGTATAGTGAATAGCTATGAGAGATATTTAAAAGGGCAGAGAAAGGACAGAAGAGGTTAAAGATATTTTCCTGGCATTATATGTGTTATGTTCTCCTTGGCATTTGCCTATAAGTCAGCAGTAGAGATACTGATTTTTTTCTAATTTTTGTTCTGTGTTTTTTTTTTTTTTTCTTTGAATATTACTCCATGCTAAGACTCATCCTCCAGGGGTCTGGTTATAATTCTGTTACACCGTGACATCGTCCAAATCATGTGCTTTGGAAGACAGATGACAAAGCCATTAACCTGGTAGCCCTTCGGCCTTATGAAGAAAAGTGGTTTGGTCCGCAAACTCAAACACCCGAGGAATCACGCAACACAGTTCTCTGCTGTTGGGCAAAAATAGGGACCATCAGCAGACCTGAGAATTGCTGGAGCAGTGTGGCCGAGGAGCTGCTTGGAGTCTCTCATGGATTGTCTTCACCTGCAATGCCCATTGGTTTCTTCCGGATCATTTTCAAGACTGGAAGCCAGAAGTGAATCTGAAGAGACAAAAAGATCGATGAATGAGCATTAGAGTCATTTCCGATGCCTGTGACATAAACTTCTCATTGTGGGCTGCCGGCATCAGAAAAACATGCAAAAGACTTGGAAATGGCCAAGGGCGCCTACGTGGCTCAGTCGGTTGAGCGTTTGACTCTTGGTGTCGGCTCAAGTTATGATCTCACCGCTTTGTGGGTTTGAGTCCCACACTGGGCTCTGTGCTGGCAGCGCAGAGCCTGCTTGGGATTCTCTCTCTCTCCCTCTCTCTCTGCCCCTCTCACACTTGGGCTGTCTCTGTCTCTCTCAAAATAAATCAATAAACTTACCCAAAAAATAAAGAAATAAAATGGTCTTGTGCCATTATAAAAAGGAGAAAAAAAAGAGACTTGGAAATGGCCAGAAACTTATCCTTGTGGGTTACCTTAGCCTTTCATTGTTTCTAAGCCATTTCCCCATTCCCAGCTGTTGGGAGCTGATAGCAACGATGGGAATGATTCTTGTCCACGGACACGTGAAATGACTTGCACCCTGTAAAGTGCAATTAATCCTCCCATCCACCTTGTGGAAGAAGCCAGTTTTGCATCTAGTAAGCACATTCATTTGGGTATTCCTGGTAGCATATATATATGTGTGTGTGTGTGTGTGTGTGTGTGTGTGTGTGCTTTGAACTGTTCTTTGAATTGGTTGGAATTTCTTACCGTCTCTTCATTAATTAATAAGTTAAATAAAACCTTCGATGAGCATTCATTTTATGTGTAGGAAGTCATTATCATATCTATGCATAAATATACATATATGTTATGCCTATAGAAATCCTCTTCATCATATGTACATCATACATATACTTTAATGCTGGAGCATGAACAAATTCTTTGAAGTTTACCAAGCTGTAGTAGATAGTTCCCTCTGTTATTTATTTGTCCTCGACATGATAAATCGCTCTTACTGGGCACGGTCCTTTAATAATAATTGCAGAGGGCCTTCCCAGTAGCCTCTCTTCCTTGTGGCTGACTGTACCTACTTGAAATCAGCGTTGGGGCGCCTGGGCGGCTCAGTTGGTTAAGCGGCCGACTTCGGCTCAGGTCATGATCTCGCGGTCCATGAGTTCAAACCCCGCGTCAGGCTCTGTGCTGACAGCTCAGAGCCTGGAGCCTGTTTCAGATTCTGTGTCTCCCTCTCTCTGACCCTCCCCAGTTCATGCTCTGTCTCTCTCTGTCTCAAAAATAAATAAACGTTAAAAAAAATTAAAAAAAAAAAAAGAAATCAGCGATTTGAAAAATATCTTGCAGACCCATCTGGCCCACTCAAAAGCACGAAGCGAAGAGCCTTAGCCACACATATCTATTAATTTTCTCCCCCTGGTGTCCTATCTATTGCTAGGGGTGTGAACCCTAACATGAAATTGAAGAGTGCTTTGCAAGTCCACTGGCCCTTCAAACCCAAAGTCTCCTTCGTTACAGATTACATCACCATCTTGGCTTGCCTTGCCTTTGTAAAGTAGAGATTCTGTTTACTGTTTCCTCCTCCCAGTGCCTGCTTTGCTCTCTTCTTCAGGAGCTTCACATGCAGGTGCCGGACGCGCTCCGTCTGCACGGTGGGGTAGAAGGACGCGGACACCAGGATTTTAAGCTGCGTCAGGATGGAGGACAGCAGTCCCAGCACCACTAGTATCACAAGAATAATGCTGAGAGGAACCCAGGTCTTAGACAGAAGGAGCTTTGGCTCGGGGATGCAGGTGGGTTCAAACAGAGATATGTTAAAGGAAGAGTCATGTATGATGTCTTGAGTTCCTTGCTCCTAAAATGAAAGAATAAGACCCTTAAGATCCATGCCATTTTTGCCCTCAGTCCTTGTCTTGCTCAATCCTGCCCTGCAATGCATAGCATTTAGCGTGAACCATGCAGGGACTTGGACTGGAGCAGCTCCTTTTGTGTGCTAGGATGGGAGCAAAGACAAGGGCCGAGTGTTCTTTGCAGCGGTTGCAGTGTTTTTCTAAAGCGGGTTTGTGGAAATATAGATTTCCTTGAGAGAAAACGTATCAGATAAGTTTGTCTACTCTGTCCTTTCTTTGGAGAGTCAGGATCCCCATGAGGCTGTTGAAGTCTCTGAGAAGAAGGCGGAGAAATCCATTTCACTTCAGCCAACACTTCTCCTCACACATTTGACCACATAACCCAGTTTTATGGAACACCTGTTTTTTTTTTTTTTTTTTTTTTTTTTTTATTTTTTTTTTTCAACGTTTATTTATTTTTGGGACAGAGAGAGACAGAGCATGAACGGGGGAGGGGCAGAGAGAGAGGGAGACACAGAACCGGAAACAGGCTCCAGGCTCCGAGCCATCAGCCCAGAGCCTGACGCGGGGCTCGAACTCACGGACCGCGAGATCGTGACCTGGCTGAAGTCGGACGCTTAACCGACTGCGCCACCCAGGCGCCCCTGGAACACCTGTTTCTACACGCTAGGAAACGTGGGACTGATGAAAGATGTTTTTAGCTTAACTGCAGGAGCCTTTTTTTTTGGAGCGTAGCCCCTTAAGACCCCACCATGTCCTCCCCATCTTGACAAATACCCCGACGGCAGGTCACGAGGTCACAAAGATGCAGAAGCATTAAATTATGTTCTAAATCAACCTTCTAGACATTGGGGGCAGGGAATTATTCTTAGTGTAAGAATACTAAGAATAGTATTTGCTGAAGGTGGCTTTAAACCCTTTGTGTAGAGGTCTCAGACAGGACATTGTCTCATCTCTGCTGGATGCTTGGGGGGGAATGTGTTCCTTTCTGCTTGAAGGCAAGAGTACAAACCAGTTGCCCTCAGTGGACTGACAACATAGGGCAAAAGATGACATTGTGCCGCCCAGACAAGCCACCAGCAAAAGTGTGTGCTGATTCAGCACTTGGTTTTCCCTGACCTGAGAAAGTCATTTAATCTCTCGGTGGATTTGTTTTCTAATTTGGTAAAACAGGAATTAATGGAGCAGATCCTGCCCATGAATAAACTACTCCCAGTGTAAATTAAGCACCTTGGGGATGGAGCGTTAACCTTACAAACTGGAGTACTTAGTAAGCTATTATCACTGCAGCACCCCAGAGCTGGGGGGGGGGGGGCAGTGGCGGGCAGGAAGAGGGAAATGACTTTTCCAAAAGAACACAACCACACCTAGAGAACAGAGTGCACCTTGAGCTGTCCCAGTGCCTGTGAAGACTCTGGAAACTTCAAACCTGGGGCGTCTCTATAGATGTCAAGTCAAATCTGTAATTTCTCCACCACTGTGCCTAAGCAATGAAAATGTTGCCTTTCATTTTCTCTTATTAAAAAGAAAGTTCACCTACAATTAAATATAGAGATTTCAGTCCCCAGAGCAAAGCATGTGCTCTTTTTAATACTAGTGAAGAAACAAACACATCGAGTGAGTCAGTGATGAGAAATCCTGCAATAAGAAAGCAGCGGGTGTCCGGTCTTGGAAGAAGTTACTTAATCTAGGAATCTAACTGGGGATTTTGCATTTGGGAGTCAGGGCTTCATAAAGATTGAGTCAACATTTTTGTACAGCGTTGGTGGAGGGTAATGTGGAAGACAAATGAATTCTCTCAAAATGCTGAGCAATATGCTAAATGGTACCCTGATGTTTTAAAATGTGTTTACCTCTCATAAGTACACAATTTGCCAAGACAGCGTTGAGTAATGGACCGAGGATCCGCTCTGGTATCAGACAGTCCTGAAAAGCTAATGCAGACAAATGCTGTGCACGATACGTGCTCAATAAGTTAACAATGGCTACTTTTACTTACGATGCCCACCCATCCAGCTAGCTCCCTTTGGGTCATTTCTTTCTTCTCTACTTAAAAGACTTATTTAAAATCATATGAAAGTGGGAGAGAAATATTGGCAAAACCCTAAGGTGATGTTTCTCTTCCTGCTCAACCTGCAGCAACAGAGGGACCCACGGCCACCAAGGGCATCCTGGGATAAGGGCAGGACACTGCAGGTCCCTGGAGCCAGCGGCTGATGGCAGTCTCCCAGGCACGGCAGGAGAGAGTTTGCGAGGAGCCCCCACAGCAGTCTCATACCCACACCTGCCCCAGCACCCACCGCCCTGCTGTCGCTATGCGAGAGGGTGGCGGCCTCCCCCACCAGGATGTGAGTGTGCAATGGCAGCTGGCAAAGCTTAGACATCTTTGCATCTCCAGTACCCTGTGATGCCCAAAAATGTATTTGTCAGGACATTGTCATTGGAAAGCTTCTGGGCTTTTTTTGGAAGGCAGAACTTGCCTTTTTCTCATTCTGTCTAAAATGGTGAGAATTCACAAAGCAGGCATGGGTATTGGCTGAGGGAGACATGTGAGAGAGAAGCAAAAAGAGATGGGAGGAGAGGAAGAACCGAGCCAGGAAAAAAGACAAAGGAGAATGGGCTCGGGGAGGGGAAGGGAGAGACCCTTTTCCCTGCCACCCCGAGGATTAAGCATGTCTGAAGAGTTAGTTTAGCTTTCACTGGAGACACCGCTTCCATTATTCCCCCTGCTCCAGATATCTAGAGCAACAGAGATCTTGTAATTAACTGAATTCTTCAGGGGCAGCAGAATGCTCAGGGTAATCAACTCTGAGAAGCAGCCCAGGGTTAGAGGGGGCGGAGTCGACCTACCTGCTGAGCCAGAGGAAGCTGGGAAGAAAAGTGTGGATGCTACCAGAAGACCCCAGTTCCCGAGATAAAGAGAGCCCGTGGAAGAGTGGGGTTCAAAGGAGGCCTTGCAGGCATCCTTTCTGCCGTTTCCTTCTAAGATTTCTGGGACTGTAGCTTGACCAAAAACAAGGGAAAATCAGACATGTGCAGACAGCTATTGGTGTTTTCACTAGCCCAGGCTGGCGCACTCTACCCCACCATGAGCAACACTCGCGCCCACATACACACACTCACACACGCATGTACACACGCATACATGCACATAAACACGCATGTCCCACCTAGCTCAGCTTCACAACCTCTGGGTTTAGAAAAAATCAAGACAATGTCTGACAATACCCACATCCTCTGACATGCCCACATAATCACAAACTTCCCCACAGAAAAATGGAAAAGAAAAAAGGTGGGAGGCACAAAACTCATGGTCTTCTTGCTTGGGACACAGCTGCCAAGAGGAACAAGAACGAAGGAGAGAAAGGCAGATTCCCTGAGGCTCAGGGGGCACCAGCTCAGAGAAACACACTATCTTGACCAATTAAGATTGTCATAGATCCATCCAATGGCTTTCAGCTCCCTTCTTTTGGGCGGAGTTTAGAACAGTGGTTCTCAATCTTGGCCGCACGTCAGAACTACTTGGAGACTTTTTAAAAATCCCTCACCCAGGCCTCACCCCAATCCACTTAAATCTGATTCCTGGGTGTTTGTTGGCTTGTTCAGGTCCACAGTGAAGGCACCATGTGGCTATGGCGGATAATCACTGACTTAGAAGGTCCTTGCTTTTGGCACCTGCACCAAATTTTCTCGAAATATGGTCTCTATAGACCACCTACTTTGAAATCCCATGGAGTGTTTATTAAAAGTACTCTCCCTGGGACACTTGGGCAGCTCAAGCATCTCACCCTTGATTTCGGCTCAGGTCACACTTAAGGTTGAGAACCACTGACCTAAAAAACCAAGGTAGCTCTTTTCTTTTCTTTTCTTTTCTTTTCTTTTCTTTTCTTTTCTTTTC